AAGGCCTCAATAAAGACTCCCCGGAGCCTTCTCTTCTCCAGGATGAACAACCCCAACTAGCTCAGTCTGTCCACATCAGAGAAGTATTCCAGCCCTCTCATCACTTTGGTGGCCCTTCTCTGGGCCTGCTACAACAGGTCCATCTCCATTAGATCTATGGCTTAACACTTAGAGGATACTGAAGTGTTCCCAGCCAAACCATTGTGAATGCTCCACTTCCAAACCTCACTGCTTCTTCTCCAGCTGTTAAATGGGACAGAGCATTGCTACCAGGAAGGACTTTTTGCTCATCTTTGATGTCACCAAGGACGAGGCTCTGAAACACCTGTACCCTCTGAGCACTGCAAGACCAAAGCCAACTGTCATCTAACACAGTTTGTGCTCTCACCGAAGTGTATGCCCATTGTCACGGCTTCTGTAAGAATTAGGCATTTCTCGTCACATAAACTGGTCACTGCATTGTGCTGCAGAGAAGTGAAATCAGTCCCAACATGAAGAAAATGTTGCAGGACATTGGGTTATGGTTGATGTTCTGTCACCAGCAGTTGGCAAACTCCAGTCCCACTGATTTTGAGAGGGTATCCAGTGCCTTACAGCTGCACACCAAGGAGGAGCTGATACCAAGGCTCTCCTGAGCCCAACCACACCAAGCAAAGCAGAGACAAAACCCATGCTTCTTACAAACAGGTTTATTTGCATTTTGACTGGAGCACAGATTCTAGATACAGGTTTCTTCTGCACAACAGTACAAGAGCCAGTGCAAAATATGCTTTTTTATTATTATTATTCATTTACAAAAAAAAAAAAACCAACCCAAAAACCAACAAACGAAAAGACAAAGAGTGTGGCAGTATTTACTCACAACTGGTACGCCTCAGCCTCCAATCAACCCACCTCCACTCGCCCTTGCCCGTCACGCCGACTTCGTGGTCAGCATCGCCTTTCTCAAACGGCTGCATTGTCAGTGAAGAGAGGTAACTCCCCTAGCCCTTTGAAAGATAAACACTCACCCCAAGCAAACTGGGACAACAGCAGGCTACTTAAAGCAGTTGGACACACCAGCTGCTCGCCAATGCATCCCCCCAACAGGGAGCAGAAGAATTTTGAGGGAGTAGCAAAAAAAAAAAAAAAGAAAATAGGTACCAATCGGAAATGCACAAAAAATTAGGCACCAGCTGAACCCTTTTTTTTTTCAATCAGAGACAAGAATGTTAAGATACACCTCTAGTCTGACTTATCCCATTCAACCACAGTACTGATCAAGGCCAAACAAACACTCCCCGTTTTGAGTACCCTGTGCTGTCAAACAGATTTATAATCTTAAGAAAATATTTCTATTAGTAGTATAAACTTAAACCATTTCATAGCTGAAGGAGAAAGAAAAGCTACAGTCTGAATACAAGCATTTCTGTGAGAACAGTTAAAAACAAAAGCAAACAAAAGAACCTGTCCCAGTCATCCACCAGATGATTGTTAGAATTACAGCCAATGCTTAAGCAATGTAACATTGAGCTAGGAAAGTCTTTTTACGGTTGTTCTGCTTAGGGAGTAGCTCTTACTAGTTTACAAAGCATTGGGCAAACTATTTCTCTTTAACTAATTTTCAGAAGCTGCAATATAGAACTGCAGTATTAGTGCAAGAATATGCTCATCTTCACCAAAGCCTGGGATTTATATTGCAGAAATTCATCAAATTTACATCACTCAAGTGTATGCCATGTCCAAATCACCTAGAGTCATCATTATGGACTTTTACATTTCTACCCAATGAATGGCTGGGTTTCAAAGCTTGATCAACCAGAGTCTTTTACAGTGAACGGCAATTAAACAAAGCAGAGTACCAGCTAAAGCCAAAGAGCACAAGTACTCAGCACATATATGTTTTGATAAAGTACTGTATTGTATGTGTATATATATATACGCATAATATGTATATGTTACATTATAAGGAGAGTGCCATTCAGTCTTCACAACTGTCAGAATCCTTTTACCACCTGCAAATCTTGAAACTTCAACCCATTAAATTTCACACCAAGACAATGAGAACTCAAATATTTTCCAAATTGAATTATTTCTATTTTAGCCAATTAACCAAGCAGGGCCAGCTGAAAGAACAGGAGCTTTAATTTAAATAACACCAATTCTACCACTTCAGGCAGATAGCACAAATTTCTATCACTGTGTTATTTGCCCCTTCCCTACCCTGCAGTTGTGCATCATGGACATTTCTATAAGTTCTCAGACCATCACCAGAGTCGTAAACTGATCTGTATCAATTTATTCACTTGTCAGAGAAAATGTTGCAACATATGAAATAATGCAGTACAGTAGCCGGTACAGTTCTGATGAGAACTTAGTCGTACTGGCTGGAGTCATATTGGTTTTAATCATGTAATGGTTCTGCCTTTTCATCCCCAGCAAGCCCACTTCTACTCATCGTGGCTGTCACCATACATACAAGACAAGAGCTGGACAGGTTGGGGTACCATACAATTCATTGTAGTTCTAAAACCCAGAGCTTATAAAGGTCTGCTGTACAAATTTCACAGAGAGCTGAAAAAAGTCTCATTTAAATCACTTTGAGCAGGAGGTTTCATATGTTACTTTTTAAAAAAGAAATAGGAGCAACAATAGCAAAAGAAAAGAGGCAACGATAAATGTAACAGGCGCTTAAGAGCAAAGTTACTGCAGAACCCTTTCGGATATTTAGATAAGGATATTTAGCTCCTCATCTCACTTGCCCTTAGCCTATCTAGAACTTAGGCATCTAGCCCAGACTAATCATTTGCATTTCCTCCAGTCTTGGGGAGACAAAAGTCTCACATCCTCAAAAGCTATCACATCCTCAAATAGGGCAAATGAGTCTCTCCAGGGATGGCAGATCCTCTATAACTGAAGGAGAGTCTAAGTGGTTAGCTAGATTACCTGCCACTTACACAGGTGAGACAAGTATCTCTCTCTCTCCCCCTCTCCATGTAAGCCACTAACACAAATCCTGAAGGCTTTGCTTGGTTCCCGCATGGACAAAGTCACCAACTTCAACAGAGCAAGGGTTTGCTTTTGTGATTTTGGGAGGCAGAGGGGAATTTTGGTCAGCAGTCCAGTCTCACAATGTTGCTATGAACACTTGCACCAGCCACTCAGCCACAAGGGTTCACAGCCAGTTTGCCCATGTCAACCACCCATTGGTTATGCAGCATCAGGCAACAAGGGAAAGGGGTGCAACATGTTTCCTAACAGAGATAGATCTCATTCTACACCTTCTTCAAGGGGGTCAGCAGAGGGAGAGCTGCTGGTCTCCTTTCTGTGGCAACCAGCAGTAGATGCAAGGAAATTAAATGAAGATGCACCAGGGCAAGTTCAGGTTGGACATTAGGAAAACGTTCTTCACCTTGGTGGTGGTTGGTCACTGGGATAGGCTCCCTAGGGAAGTTGTCCTGGCACAAAGCCTGTCAGAGTTCAAGGAACATCTGGACAACATTCTTAAACATATGGTTTAGATTTAGGTAGTTCTGCAAGGAGTGGTGAGTTGGACTCAATGGTTCTTATGGGTCCCTTCCAACTTGAGATATTTTATGATTCTAAGTTGAAGTAACTCACAATTCTCCTAGACACCAAACTAGCTGTCCTGCATCTTCATGGGCCTGTGCGTTACTGAGCACAATCCTCCAAATCTCTACTGGGACTAGAGAGGTTCAACAAGGTCTAGAACTACTCTGTCAGGTAAGCATAGACCTTACATACACATTAAAGTTACACAGCCTTACAAACAAGAGAACATAGATACAACAGCAGAGCCCACCCAATAGGACAATATTTATAATCTACATGATTGTTTACTCTGGTATACCCTCTTACAGCACGGAAAGGAAAACAAGATATATTGTCAAATTCATCCTCATATAAGTACAAAATTATTCTATTTTTAAAATTCTAAACATAAGAAGGTCCTAACGGAGAGTTATTTTTGTTCAAAATTAATCAAGCAAGTGTTACTGAAACACTATGAGGAGTCTTACATATAATTTCTCATGGCCAAGATTTGCTTTTTTAAATAATCAAGAACAAGTTGTATTATTTTTTTTTTCTAAATAAGCAAACAGTAACTCTGTGAGCATAGCTGCCACTATCTTTTCTTCACACCGCTGTTTCAGTATTGCTGTGTCCCCTGATTTACAAGGCTATTACACGTAAGTGGATACAGTACAGACTACGCTCCTGGCAACTTCAAGGTCTTTTTTTTAAACACTTCTCATAAGTTCAGATTCACCTCTCTGAGCTGCATGCCAACAATGGCCACACCAGATATTAGGCCAATATTACAAAGCAGGATGAAAAAACACAACCAAGATACATTTTCCAAAGCACTAAATAAACCAAGCAGCTCCTGATACGCGAGGGAGCACATTGGTCCCACCTACTCACAAAACCAACTGGAATTTATTCCCTGTCTTGGAAGGCAGCTCTAACTCTGTGGCCACAACCTGGATGCCTCAGTGCCCGGGGCCAGAGGCTCCCCAGCTGCCCCCTACTACATGCATGGCAGTGCAGAGCAGGCTACAGAACCATGGTGGCTACACAGGCACCAAGGCAGGGTGGAGCTTGGCACAGCCCCATCTTCCTCTCAAAAAGATGGCGTTTCCTGTCCTCCACAAAAGCATATCTTCCCCCAGAGCTCACCCTGACCCTTGTGTCTGACCTCCCTCACTCCAGACCATGTACAACTTCCTCATGTACACAACCTGGTTCTCAACCAAGAAGCCTCAAGCTCCTTCACTTCACGGGGAGGAATCGCCCTGCCCCAAAGCCTGGGCATCGTTTTTGAAGAAACGCTACAATTCATGGAGCATCCAGGACAGCCAGTTGAGCAAGATCGTGCCTAAGTAGGCAATGTTACTCAATTAGCTGAGTTGGCTGAAGGTTTCCCCATTGTAACACGATTTTTCTATTCTAGTATTATTTTTGGTGTAAAAAAAAAAAAATCAGTGGGGATGGGTGGGTTTTTTTGTGCAAAACTTGGTGCTTTTAATGAAAAAAAGGTTGCTTTTCTCAATATTTTGCTTTTTATTTCTGTTGGGAAAACTTGAAACACATCGTTTTTGTCAGAAAAATATCAGTCCGTGTCTGTCTGAATTCCTCCAGTGTCAGCTGGGAGCCGTAATTCATGGGCTCCATGTCCCCCTCTTTCCCAGAAGGCTGGGCTCCTGGGCACCCCTCCAGCCTTCATGACGCATTCCCCCTTTGACTAACCCACAGTAAGAGCATCATGGGATCTGTAACTCAGCCAAAGAGCTGGGCCCCAAGGGAGACACGGCACACAAGGCACTTGAATGGTAATTTCTGAGGTCTGCAACAGTAGCTCAAACTGATGCTGCTTTAAGAGCCAAATGGATTTAATTAAATGTTTCCATTTCAAAAGGCTAGAACATTTTATTCAGCGTTTTCCAGCTGCCAATTTCTCATTTTTTGAAAAATTTCCATTCCAAGAAAATTTTTGGTATTTCATCTTTCCATCTCAATTCAGGATGAAATTAAATGTTCAAGTATCAGAATTTGACGCTATATGGACATTGGGTTTGGGAAACAGCGCCTTATTAATTAGCTTCCAACAGTGAAATGACTCCACACATGCAAGAAGAGTCTGATCCATTTTGCCTTTGACATCAGCGGAAGCCACTTTTCAGTTTAGTGGAGCCTGGATGGCATCCCGAAAGACCAAGGGAGGGTTGACCATAGTTGCAGATATTGGAAATAAAAGTCAAAAGTGAAAGAGCAAGAGTATAAGAAGCAGCAACTATGATCCGTTACCTGGACTCAATCAAAACTTAGTTTTACTTACTTCAGTGAGTAACAGGAGGAAAAATCATTAAGATCATAACCTAATTCCCAGTTACAGTAAAGTTAGCAGTTAATCAATGCTTTGCAGAGTAGAATAAATCCATAGTATGAATTTGTCTTGAGCTCTGTAACTTTCAATGTTCAAAACATTTCCTAAGAAACCTTTCATATACTCTATTAAAGGAGATTATTCTAAAGCTGAAGATATAATATGGTAGTGAACTGCTTGCCTTGGGTTGTCTATTCCTCCCTGAACCCTACAAAATTGTTCTGTTGGATTGGTATTACAGAAGCTCTATCAGCATGGACCTAGGTCTCTGGACTTCGAGCACATCTACAGGTGGAAAGCAGCTAAGTGTGGGCTTCCAGGGCTGACACTCTGGGTGAGAACTGGGGATCAAATCCGTGCTCTGCATTGCCTAATCTGGTTTTTGGATGTTGCCCCCAGCCTTCCACCTCAAAGAGTAAAAGAGGAACTCCAGGGAGCCTATGTCCGTCAGCAGGAGGGTGTGTGTTGAAAGCAAGAGAGAACTCAGAACAGTAAATAAATCAATTCACCCAACCATGAGGGGTCTAGAAAATTGGGTTTTGTTTATCTTTCATTTCCCTTTAGTACAAGGCAGATGTTTCTAAGCAATAAGCAGAAACCTCAACAATTTTTAAGACTGAAGAGGAAGGGAGGGAAGAAGAAACATGTACAAGCTTTGAGGATGTTCTCAGCTCCAGCTTCAAAAAAAAAAACAAACAAAAAACAACCCAGAAAAAAACAAAACCAAAACAAAACCACACACCACCAAAAATGTATATCTGTAAAAGCAAGTTTTTCCTTAAGCTGTTTGGTACTTCTTAGTTCGTAGGAGCATTTTATCCAGAAGATTCTTCATGTTTCCAGTCTAGGTTGTAGCAATCTCAGTGAGGCACTAAATTTTAGGCTGTTAAAGTCTTTCTGTGCAGCACGGTCATTTTAAAATGATGTGGTAGCCATCATTGCTTTCAGCTGTAACAAAGAAATGCAAAGCATTTTTTCATTTCTTTTACAAAGCAGCACAGATACAGAACACTGGATTTTCTTCTTCAGTAGTTTGCAATAATTTGTAGTCTTGTTCCACAACCCACTCATGAAAGTCAATATTGAACATCTAGGTCAAAGCATTTACATACAGAAATACAACATACTAACTGTCATCTTTTATCATTTTACTAGAAGGTTTTCTGCTCATTTATGTCACTGTTATCAATGGATTTATGAAAAATTTATTACAGGGTAACTGAGATGAAAGCACAGATCAATCAGTCTATCATAGTGTAAGTTGGTGCAACACCTTGACTTACACCAAATTAGATTACTTATCTTTTCAGGATAACAGCACTGAGTTTGTGATAACGTTTAGTGCAATTGAGGGGAGAAATTACCTTTAGAACTACATGTAACAGCGGCAGCAATACATACCTTTTAATGTGCTGATAACAAAACAAGATTCATCTTGGAAGTTTTGCACCATCTGAAGGGCAGAAGGAAAGAAGCCAACACACAATATTTTTAGCAATTTAATTCAACTTTGAGTGCCAGTACAGACTTCAGAGGACAGTTATCAAACAACATTTGGTGTCTAGTCCTACACAGTCCTGAGTGACCCTGCCAATAAGATTATTAAAGTACATGACTGATTGCTTAAGGTCCCTGCAGCTGCTGATGTGCTTCAGAGAAGCTTATACTAAAGTGTTTGCCAGGTGCTGATATGGCTTGTTCAGCATTTTACCATCCTCTTTGCAATTCTTGATCCTGCAAGTTCTTATACCACTCCACCTAGTCTATTAAAGACCATGCTCTTAATTGCCTTCAATGAAGCTATACTAATTTAGACTGGATGAAGACAGTCTTCCTAAAATGTAACAATGGTAATACACGTTCAGCTGAACCATGAGGCTCAGCTGAGCTTACATTAGTGTCTGGGATAATACCTAGAGGTGGCCAGCCCTGAGAAACAGGCTCTTTGCTGAATAAAGCAATATTGTTACTATAAAGACATCTCAGCAGCGTCCACCTGGTTATTTTGACCAGTATAGTTGCTATGCTTGCAGGAATAACTTACCTGTTTGTATTTTGTCAAGGCAAAGGAATCTTAATGAAACTGCTATGAGAGGCAAGGCAGATCATGGGAAGCAAGATCAGTATCTAAAGTTATTTGAGTTATTCATGAGAAACAACTAGATTTTCAGAACACATGCAGGTTTTGTGAGGCCCCTAATTAAAGAGATTCAGCTGACTTCAGATCCAATCTGAAATGGCCATTTAAGCTTCATCTTTAGTCAATGCTTCCTCCCATCTTAGAGCAGCTGTGTGGGACAGAGGAGGTGAATTACTTTCAGAAGATGTCTCATACAGCTGGAGTAGATGCTGTGTGGGAGAGAGGGGAGGTGACAAGAACCTCTCTGATCAGCTCGGAAAATCTAGCTTTAAGCAAAAGCCTTCTCCTAGCTATTGAGTATCATTCAAGAAGAGTACTTTCCAGCTGTAAGCTCTCACACCAAATATCCTTTTCAACTTAGACTAGTCTCCCTATTCTCCTTTGGGTTTAACATCCACCCCCTGCTCCTGCAAATCAAACTTCACTGGCCAGTCTAGGTGTCTATGCCTAATGATGCATGAAGTACATTCATAGAGTGCCTCACTCTTGCCACTATAGTACTAGAACAAGAAAAATATTATTACAAAAAGGCAATAGACATTGTTAATAATTGACTTAAATAAATACTTAAAGCCTTACACCCAAGCTGGTTCAGGCAATTCCCCTACCAAGAGTTGCCTCCAAGCACTTTACATCCATAAAGCATCAAGGTTTCAGATTTAATCAGGCTGAAATAGCAAGGAGACTTTAGGACTAAGCATTACAGCCTTCAATTTAGGCTCCAGTTGAGACCTACGCTCTGCTTCATTTGTTTTAACAATGTTTCTTATAGATGAAGCTCCTTAAGTGATTCTGGTGCATGAATGAGTAAGTAATTTAGTGGGGGGAAAAAGAGGAAGAAGGGCAACTCACTATTAACCTGCAAGTTAATGGAATGGACTCAATTAAGCCATCATATAATGAGACATAAACAGCTAGGAGAGGTCCACGAAATCATAGTGTGCACTTACACAGCACTGACTCTGACCCAGTGGCTGTAATCACTGGCCAAGATCTAACACTGATTGTCTTAAAAATTTTCAAACTTGCTTTCTTCAGGAAACTTTCCTATTAAATTTTAAAAGTTCTTACTTTAGATCCTCAGTTCAGAATTTTTTTAGTAACCAACATGAAAATGAAATGGCTAATTTCATTGTGTGTTTCTTCCCTTTCAAAAAAACCTCCTCCTTTACAAAGCAAAGATCGTAAAACCACACCAAAATCAATGGTATGCATGCATGATTTGGTCTAAGTATTTGTTTTAAATTGTTGGGATTAGTAACCTTGCTTGTAAGTAAGCTTCCTCGAAGATTCATTCCATGATTTAAAAGGGCATTGTAACTTCAGAAGTCGGACAATTGTTACAGCTCTGCCAAGAGTTTGCCTTAACCCCTTACCTCATTGCTCACTAATACATGGATCCCTGTGGGTCCCTGCCGATAGATTCGATTTATCTGCTGCGGAGAAATGCTGTACAAGTTTGCAATCTTTTCAATTAATTCCAGCGTGGTCAATTCTTCCAAGAAGATTGCATGATATACTGCAACAAGTTGAAAGTAATTACAGAATTACAGAGCAATTACAGAATAAAGCAAATAAAGCACAGGTTACTTTTGCCCAGAGAAAACACAGGGACTAATGACAACTTCTATCATGGTGCACTAAAACACTATAATAAAGATGATGATATTTTTGGGTAGTCTACTGATTTTTTCATTTTACAGTAGATCCAATTAAACAGTAAAACACATGATATGATGTAGCTCAAAGGTGGTATTTTATTAAATTTTATCCCACTGACCACATAGGCACAAAGTAAAGACGCATCATTGGGGATAGTTAAGAGCAGTGAGTCCCCAAAAGCTTTGGATTCTGAGAATTAGAATCTCACTCTCAGAGGTTCTGATAGAGACTCTCAGATACACAAACCTTCCTTTTCACAAAATATTTTCAAACAAGCCATAGTCTAAGGCAAATTGTGGATGAGAAGATACATTTTAATGCTCTGGCCCCTATTAAGAACTGAATAGCTGTGGCATTCTACAGATAGCTTGTAAGTTGGGTCTGTTCTCCAGGCAGATGGTACAAGTTGGATCCTCTAACCATGAAACTAACCTAAGCGTCAGAACTGGGACAACCACGACCTCTTTAAACATGCAGGGCACCAAGCTGTCCCATGCAGGGCACCAAGATGTCCCAATGCAGGAACTCAGGCAGAAAGGAGCTTTCTCACCAGATAAGTGTTTAACAAAATCCATAAAAACTTACCACAAAGACTGCCATCGCCATTTTCTTGTTTTTGGTGGAGATGGGACCTGTTTTGCTCTGGTTCTTGACAGACATAAATTGTCATCTTGGGCCTTACATTTCTATGGATTATTAAAAAATAGTAGTGAGTTATTTAGTAGGTCTAAACTTGTTCCAGTCAGCAAGAAAGACTGAGAGAAATATTCAGGTTATGCACAGATAACCAACTAAGGGATAGTCTTGATGCTGAGTGGAGTCTTAGGAGGTCTAGTGAGAGCCCCTTGGGAGGTGGTCGTACAGTGCAGAGCACTCTTCAGGACCAGATAAGAATAAACAGTTTTCAGCACTTGCCAAGCAGCTCATCATACCTGCCTTTACTGATTTGAATCCTGCCCAGCTGGAGAATTTATGGTGTTATTGCAATAAAAGAAAGTTTAAGAATCATTTGAGGCTCCAGGGTTTGGTTGGTTGGTTTGTTACATGCGATGGAGATACAACACGGGGTATCGTAGGCTGTGTCTCATATGAAGTGGATGGAAGCTATCAGCTGGTAGCAAATAAACCACTGGAGATCCACATTATTCCCCTTCATTTTTAACTCAGGTGTGGGTTGGACAACATTTCTGAGCTGTGCTTGGATTTGAATACCATTGTCATCTCCAGCCTCTGAGATGACCTCTCTGAAGTGTTAAGAGGAGGTCTAAACATCTCCAGGATTAATTTCTAGTTAACACTGAAATTATCAAGGGATGCTGCCATAACAAAAAAATAGGAAGGAAGAAGTACAAACCTTCCTTTGATTGCATTAAAGAGCCGAATTCCATCAGCAGGCCCACAGATTTGAACAAAATCTTCTTTGGACATCTTCAGTAAGTCAGCACCTACATATTTCAAATTGATTTTTTTTCAGAAGTTAAGCAAATTTAGCTTCCAAATTGCATGTATGGGCAGCGGGAAAGGGCAGGGGGAGAGAATCCACAAAGATAAATTGTACAGATTTGCCTAGAGAAGTTACAAATTCAGAGAGATGTACACTGCAAATCATTCATTGTGAAACAGAGAGCTAGAAGCTACCAGAAGAGCAGTGCTGCACTGGAAGATATTCTAGCCAACTCAGAGACAAGCTACATATTTAACATTGGCCATTAAATGGCCCAGTTTTCTCTGTCACATTCACCAGGTTATTTAATCCTGTTGCAAGTCTGAGAGAGGCTCCTCAAGGTTTCAATATCTTTAGTAGTTCCCCCTTCCACCGTCTTACTGCTCTGTACAACTACATAATGGGAAGGTACAGTAAAGATGGAGCTGCAGATGGAGCCAGACACTTCTCAAAGGTGCACAGGGACAGGATGAGAGGCAGCAGACAGAAGACGGGAAACACTGATTAGGACTCAAGAAGTCCCTTCCATCTTAAATTATTTTCTTCCATCTTCACCTACTCTATATTTCTACAAACTGTTTTGGGAAACCCTAACAAATCTAAGAATAAAAGAACAACCACACTGGATCAGACCAGGGATCCTGTCACCAGTGGCCAGCAGCAGTTGCTACTGATATGAAGCATGAGCTGCACTTACAAAAAAAAATAAAGACAAAATAATTGGACTGTTTAAACTCACCCGAAAAACTTGAGAAGAGTCTACAGAATGGAGAGAACCTATTACGATGAAGCCACTGCTGGGCATCTTGAATAGAAGCAGAAGGAAGGAGATGCTACATTGCAAAAAGAATAAGAAGGTCTTGAAATGAACTGTTCACCAGTGTCCTAAAAAAGAAAAGCACCACATTAACATGATCTCAAGTACTTACATCATTGCTGGGAGGCAGGAGCTCCACTTGGTGGGTTGGAGAACTGTTGCTAAAAAAAATTATATAAAGTTGGAAGAGAAAAAAAAAATTATTTTAAATTTTACATTTCAATGTCCTTCTTCTTCCCCCTCCTCCATTTGACTCAACTGTCATAAGTTACATACCAACTTGGCTTTTTTCTCTCAGATTTTAAAAAAGGTGTCCAAACTCTGGACCAAGAAAACAAACAAACAAACAAAAAAAGCTCTACTCGAGCCTTTTGAGGTCCTACTCAACACTGAGAGAAAAACTCAGTTTACTGACCTCATTAAAGCTGTTCCATACAGGTGACTCACTAATGAGCTACCATCTAAGGAAGTTGTGACCTACAGGGTGGCTGAACTCAAAATTTCTATGAGCCAGAAAACCGCTAACTATATCCACTGTCTAATAATGATTCTTCACAAAAATTGAATAAAGGACCTTATAATTCAACCCTGGAGTTAGCTTAAACATAGTAAATTGGAATCTAACTATATCACACAAAACTACATTTCTACTAAGCCCTCCTAAAACATAGAGAGGATTTCAGCACATCAAGGATTTTCCTAAAGAATTAATAATCTACCACTGGAAGAAAATGCTCAACAGATCTCCCTACTAACACCAATTTCTGTCTTTTCAGTGTTTGTCCTTATTCACAGGTTGAAGTCACTCATTGAAAATTTGTGATACAACATTGATTAATTAATAAGCTGTGCAGGAGAGCAACAAGGCTGCAGAGTCCTAGAGGAGGAAAAGAAAGCCTATGCCAAATTCCTGGGGAGAATATATTGCAGGGAGAACTCAGAAGTACTGAGGGACCCTGCTGTACATTTCTGTCACCAGCTATCATCTTCGGTGTTTCAGGACTACAAAAACTGTTTCTTTATGATGGCTATATTAATGAATTAAACATGCCTCCTCTTGGTCTTTTATTCTGGAATGGCTTCTTAAAATCCAGGGTGGTTTTTTATTTCTTTACATCCCATTCAATGGGGAATTCAGCACCCCAAAGTACCACAAGACAGAAAGGAAGGAAGAAATACCAACTCTGAAAAGGTGCTGAAGGCTGAAAGCCCCTAACAATTTTGTCAGAAGATACTGGAAATTGCTGGTACAGGACATGGTGTGTTCTGTGACCTCTACAGAAGAGTAAGAGAGGAAATTCATGGCAGAAATTGCCCTGGTGGTCCTCTGATGCTCACCTCCCATAAGCAGTGAACATAGAAATAGTATTCTGCATTACAGGGAATTCCTGGCTGGAAGACCTTAGAAGTCTTTGTGGGAAATATTTTCCCCTTTCTAGGAAGGGTGGTCCTTGACCTCTTCTTCCAGAGTACGAAATGCACAGACACACAAAGCACATGCACACAAAGGCTACCGTATCAACAGGAAAGATAAAGCATTTATTTGTTACATACCCATCTCCTAGGTTGAAGCTGTTGGGAGAACTGTTGTAGCTTGGAGATGGAGCATTGTTCATTTGATAAGGCACATCTGGCCAGGGAGAGCACTGTTGGAAGAAAGGCAGCAGAGATACTTTCATAAGGATGGAAATAAAGGATTCGATTCTCCTCTCATACCACATTCATGCTGTTGCCACGCCACTAGCTTCAGCTCATCGCTCCTGCTGGGAGGAGGAGATGGGCCATGGATTTTCTACGCCGCTCTCCAAGCGGGCTGTCAGGGGGCCAGATTGATTCCAGTTGCACATTCCACATTTCTCCCATTTCACAAAGCCTGTCCCCAAATAACACTGGGCCAAAGTGTGCACAGCTGTAAGTCAGAGCAACGCCAGTAAGTCAACTCAGACTGAAGGCAGCAATGATACAGAAATACCCCTGGTCTCAATTATAAATCCCTAATTAAATCCAGGCAAGAGTGACAAATACACTCCAGTGGCATCGCTTCAGGTTTATACCAGTGAAAGAGCAGAATTTGAACCAGCCTGTTAAACCTCTGGTTGTTAGTCAAAGAGCCTGAGTTATAAATGGGTATTACAGGGAGAAAATTTAAGATAGATAGACAGGCAGACACAAAGCTACTAAAAGTCTTCACAAATGTAGGTCAAACTCCATATTCCATTACAGTACTGTAAAACCAGTTAGAATTGGTGACTCTGCTCTGCATTTAAGCCGCTGTAATCAGCAGGAGAAATCTACCCCTGTGGAAACCCCACCATCAAGAGCTCAAGAAAATGCCCTGTAGTATCCTTGTTTGCAATGATCCAAACACAACAAGCGTAGCTTTGGAGTTTTATCATCTCCACAAATACTACCAAACATTTTATCATCTCCACAAGCACTAGCAAATATTTAACTCTTTGGCAACCCACATTTCCCCATCCAATGCCAAAGTGCATCAGAGCTCACAGGAAGAGTTTGGGATCTGCTAACTCTGTAGAATTAGGTCTGTGTACACAAGAGCCTCATTAACAACCACCGCGTTAAATTAGAAAACATGTTGGTTGCTCCTGGCAACTTGAGAAAAATTGAGTAGGAGGGACTGGATCTCACAAACAGGAAGTTTATTTAAATTAAGAAAAACCCCTCATTTTTAGAAGTCCAGCAAGCCACTTAAAAAAAACAAGAACTAAATCAAACGACAAAACATTCCCACAGAGAGATGGAACAGCACTTTTAACCCACTGTCTTGAGTCCTGTTGCTTAGTAATTCTGCAGCCTGGGATAAGCTTATATATACATCTAAGTAACCGCAACAAGGGGTAGAAACACATACATCTCTACACCAGATGCACCAGAATATGAGACATTCAAGATGTTCCTAGAGTACATGCCAGAATCTTCTGAGTATGTAATAGTAGCCTCATAGGCACATTCACAGAAAAACAGATTAATAATTTAATCAGACAGCCTATTCATCGGTTTAAGTGCCCCATCTCCAACACGAGCTTTTGCCAGATAGTTCTGGATAAAATACCTCATACAAGTGGAATCTAAGGACCATGACAAGTGCCCAGGAGCATGGTAGAAGATAGAGAAAATGCTTCTTTTAAACCTAGGCTGTTAAAGGTTGTTTAATACCCCAAAACATAGGAAACTTTGGCATCCTTTACAGACTTCAATGGTGAGAGATATTTAATAATTTCACTCAGGTCTCAATTTCAGTCAGATCTCAGCATATGTGTCTCCACAAGGTAATCTCCAAGGCTCTCTGAGACTGCATTTTCTCTCAAATCTACCTCCCAACATGCTGAAATAGTACTAAATGTGTCTAAAATGCTTTACCTCTGTGAGAATAGTTGTCTCATAGGAAGGCTGATACTTCTCCTTCTCTTGGGTGGTCTTCTTCTCCATTTTTTCCCTGTCAGTCTTCTGTTTTCTGTCTGCTCCTTTAGGCTATAAGCACAAGCACAAGCTTTCCCTTATGCCAAGTATTACAAGTTTGGAGACAGAGGCCAACAGATTTTTTTCCTAATCTGTTCACAAAAGTGTCCTTAAAATTTATGGGGACTCTACATACAGAACAGGATCAGATCTGCATTTTCTAGACAAAAATTAGTCAAGCATCTCTACTGTTTCTCTAACATCCCCCATTAGTGTGCATTACAATTCCAAAATAGGCTGACCGCAGTCTTGAGATTCAATACTGACTATTTCAGACAACGAGCCCCATGACTTATGCACTTCAACTGGTATTTGTGCCATCTCTCCAGGAACAGGAAAGACACTACTCCTAGGACCAAGATTGGAGCAGCAGGTCCTTTGAAAAAACAGGCCTTTGAAAAGCTTGTTATTAAGTGACTACAGGCCTGCCATGCCCAAACTAGGAGCTTCAGAGATTAACAGAATCATTTCTCTCTCCCCCAGGTATCATGGAGAGGAACTCTGCTGCAACCAGCAAAGGGTATTTAAGATCTCAAAGTTATACTCTCACTGTTCGTGAAGGATTGAATCAAAGAATCTGGAAACGCTTGTACTTGCCTAGGAACACCAAAATACAGCGGCTAGCCTGAATATCATCAGTGCAATATGTTGACTCAAAATTACTTAAACTAGTAGCCTCAATATTCCTGAGAAACTGGACCATATTTTATATAGTTTGCAATACACATCATCTTCAGGACACAAATTAATGAGGGGCAATGCCTTCAAGACACTACTTGTCTATATTCCACAGAAATTTATTTTGTGCACTGAAGCCTCTCCAATGGGTTTCCATTCCAACCAGCCGAGGTTTGAGTTGTTGATGGGTTTATTATTATTGTTATTATTATTTTTACATCCACACAGCACAGACCTCAGTATTTATATAACATTCAATAGACACAATGGACAGGAATAAGTCTTGGTGTGGCACTTGGGTCATTTGAACTTTACTAGAATTGCTGTGTAGTAGCTCAGGGCTTAAGTCACTTTGTGTGCAGGAGTGCCATTTAAGATCTTAAGCATACCCAGTTAAAAGTCTGTTCTTCTTTTACCCCACTACTTGCATCACTCTTACACAATTTAAAATCTGTGCATGTTACTATCTCTTTGTCTAATCCAGTTGATGACAAAGCTAAAACTACCTCATACCTTGAAAACTTTGATCTGGCAGCTTGCAGAATGTAAGTGTTCTGTGTATTCACCGTTTTCATTCTGCTTAAAGGTGTCAATTTGCACCCGGAAAGGCACCCCTTTCTCTCCTCCATGTTTCCGTGGAGTAAATTCTGTGCTGATGCAATGTACCTGGCAAAAGAAAAGCTGTGCTCATCTCTGGAGACAGATGGAAGCTGTGAAAATCTGAATTTCAGACTCCCCAAATTTGCAGGGTGCCTGAACATGCGGGTTTGGCTCCTCCTGAGAAACTAAGAGAAGCAGAAGAGTTCAAAATGTTTTCATTTTTGTTCCCCAGGACAAAACAATTAGAAGAATGAGAGAGAAACAGGGCATCAGGAAAAGCATCCTTTGATTTAAGTAAGACCCACATACAAATTAAAAACAGACAGTTTCCATTTGGGGTGAGAAACACTCATGAAAGAGGAAAAAAACCAAAACTAACAGGTTGTGAACAGTTTCCTCCAGACAAAACCCATGCTTAGAAAGCAACATTATTTAAAAAGATAAAAAAAAAAAAATCATTGCTGTAGCAGATAGTACTCCAAAGCCAGCTAGCAAGTAGCTAGCAAGTTGATTTAACAAGTATCCCACAAATTAATTATACATGATTGTTGCTTGAGTTTGCATATTATCATTAGCATCTTTCTCTCTTCTTCATGTCCTGGCTACCTTAACTCTCCAGGTTTTCATAAGATATCTCACCATTATATTTACCACAGGAATATCACTTCTGTCTTACCTGAATGAATGCTGAAGCTCTCTTTGATGGATCCCACAGAAATTCAACAGTGTTCAACTGGGTTGGGCTGGCCCTGGGATCCAAGATGCCAACTGACAGTGGAATATCTGTAGAAGAAAACCCCTAAAATTTTAAAAATATTAAATTGAAGAAAGCATTTCCATACAATTACAAGATGCATGTGAAAAGCCAAGCCACCAATGATATATCTATTTGGGACCTATAGTGCTAGATCTCTTTCCCACCCAAAGACATACAGGATTCCTAAGAGAGTAGGATATAAAAAACCTAAACACACACGCAAACACAGCGTACATCATTCAGCACCTCGCTTCCAAACACTGTGCAGGAACCACAATGAAATAGTCTCACCTATATCAAGGATGCGGTCCCCAGGCCGACTCCATCTCCAGCCCTCAAGCTGCTGATGCTCTGTATACTGCAGGCGTCGATCATGGAAAACTACACGAATTATGCTCTGTTAAGAAAAGATGGCAAAATGAACAACGTGATCCAAAGGCTCTTCTCTTGAGATGACTTTGGTTTTTCCAGCGTAGAAGCAAAAAGCTGATCTGTTATCTTTCTCACCCTCATTCATGAGGGGAGCAGAGGGTCCACCTAAGAGACCCATCACCATGGTTATCATCTTCCTAAGGGACCCCCTCAGTGAGAGAACAACACACTTTCCCCTTCACAGCGCATGTCTACGCTGCGTAATGCAGCTCTGTACAGCTTTCTGGGATTGGGTCTGGAAGCACTATAGGAATGTCCACCTAATCTTAGGTGTCATGCCATGTAAACATCGCTATACTGCCTCCACACCCAAAATGGCTCCCATGGGGGTAATATTTAGGGTGTCTGTACCATGCCCCAACCCCAGTATATCCCATTCTTACTAGCAAATGTGAAAGCCAGCTCACCTGTCCCTGCACCAGTGGAGCTGACATGCCCAGACACCCTGTCAGTGGGAATTGAACTTGATTCCAGCCATTAACAGCCAGTCATTGTCACTAGATTTGTCCCAGTACACTAGTAAACTGTCCCACTACACAGTTAAATGCGTATAGAATAAGAAAGCTTCTGTAACAGGAGAATTTTCATCTCTAGCCTGCAATGGTGCAGCCATGTCAATGACTGGAGTAAAAAGGCTGGAATAAGAGCAATACCCAGGGCAGACAAGTCCAAAGTACCCCTAACTAATACAACCTTTTGTATATTGAGAGTGCTACACTAGCATGAGTTTTTCAAGCCCCTGCTCCTGCTGGGGACTTCTGTGTTGAATGGCAGTGAACATTTTTTGCCAATGAACCTGAGAAACGCCCAAATCAAACCCTAGCTCTAAGAAGCAAGCAAGCCACAGTGGGAACGCTTGCAAAACTGGAATCCCAATCCACATGGTTCCCAAAAAGAGCCAAAAGACAAACAGGGAAATGCCTAAACCTGCACAACATTTGAAATCCAGATTGGAACCCAAATTTTGCAACTAGTCCCCACTTCTCAAAAGAAACCCTGAGGCAGAATAGCCAAGAATTTGGGAGAGGAAGGCTTGAAAGCTGGAACCAGAACCAAGATCTGGATCCACATTCTTGAATTTGAAATGTTTGGGAAACAACAAATAAAAATAAACCCAGAACCAACAAACCAAGTTGTGTATGTTCATAATTATGCTCATTACCACAGTAAACTGGAGCCATGCAGAATCTGCATAGCAGAATGATGTAAACACCAGGGTCCTCCATTTGACGTGTAACAACCCAGGCGTGTTGCTGGGGTTAGGAAGGGAATCAAATCTGCCCCTCAGCAGCTTTGCCCATGTTCACCTCTGAACTTTGGGATTCCCCTGAACCCAATATTCACAGTGAAACTCTGGGGTCACGATCACAACCAAAACAAAGGTTCCCCTGAAGTCCTGTAAAGCCAAGCTGCATAGTCCCGTGAAACTAGCACTCATCCACTCCATCAGCCCAGCTCCCATTAAAAACAATGGCAAAGTATTTTCCATTGTCTCAGTGTGAGCAAGGTCAGGCCCTTCATTAGAGGCTGTATGTAGTAGCAGGAAGAAAAGAAATCTATATTTCTCCTTACCTTTACATATTTTGTGTTTAAATCTTGAAACTCTCCCAATTTCCTATTCTCAAGTAGACGGATTTCATAAGACTGACCTAGAGTTTAAGGAAACATTTCCAAGGTGTTTAATACGTTGTAGCAATGAGAGAGTCATGCTGGCATTTACGTGGCTAATAAAGCATAAGTTTGATCAGGGAAAGCTCATTTTTGGTAACATAATGCATTTGCTCCCAGCAATCAAGTAGGCAATAAAGCACAGCAGAAATCTGAGGGGAAGGTTTGTCTTTTGGCAGCTAAAAGCTCTCAGTTGGGGCATCGATCGCAGTCTGTCTCCCAGGGCTGCTACAGTTTTCTGGTTACCCTTCAGAAAGCCACCAAGGTGTTCGAGGCAGTTGTCCCCCCCACCAGCCTTGTCACATGGCTGTAACAGCACTGTCTTCATCTGTCCCTTCTGCTGAAGCAACAGGCACATGAAGAGCTGCTGGCACAACAAGTCCAGGGGCTATTCTGCGGAAGACAGCCATTTGGGAGAAACCTCGCCTTCTGCAGAGAGCAGTCAGGTCTGTAAGGTATTTTGGTGAACCAGAAATACAAGATTTGTTCCATAAGGCCTTGAACGTGGCTGCCCGGGGCATAAATACCCCTTCAGACACACATGTGGAATCAGCAATGGGTACTACAGGGTGTGCAAGGACCAGTTCTGGGAAGGGACTTCATACTCCAGCACCCCACCACCACCCTCAGCACAAGGAATTTAGCTAGTTCAGTAGAATTCAGCTAACTGGTTTATGAAATAACATCTCCCTCCAAGGTTGGCAGTACACAAAGGAGACTGATGTCCCAATACCTTAAGCACAAAAGGCTAAGACAGCACAAAAGCTCGTTGTATAGGACCCACTTTGTACAAAAAACCTAGTACAGAGGCAGGACAGGATCATTCGGATTAATGGAGCACACGTATAGTTTATAGCTAGTTTTTCTTGTTCGTCTGGCTATCCTCCCTTTTACTGAGAAATGCACAAGTACAACAAGGCAGGCACCAAGAAAATCAGTTTGGGTTTTCTGGCTCAACCAGTATCTCCTCTGAACTGGTCCTGCAGAAATCTGCAAAGCAGATATATCTCCCTCTAAGCAGTTGCTGCCAGCAGAGACAAGAAAATGCTACATTTCTGGATCTAGAAATAGAAGATTTATAACAGCAGTTGTGTCAGGAGGGCACCATATTTCAGGTAGATTTTCTTTTGGGAATCCCAGCTCTTCGAATTACCCACACGAGTGCAGACCGTATCACCAGAGCACAGGGATAATTGTGCTTATTCAGCTGGCAGGGGCAGGGGGCAGGGAAGACAAGAAAGGCCACACTGAAGTCCCAGATGTTTGCACAGCACTCCTACTGATGTCAATAGGAGTTCTGCAAACAGGAAATGACCCTTGAATCCAGCAAGTGGCTCAGGGCTTGGAGAGAGGGGAGAATAAACCGTATGAAGTACCAAATTAAGCACTGGAAACATGCGTAGATCTTAACGCATCTCTTTGTGCATATGTAAACCAAAATAGCAACTGTGGCCTTCCTTTGAAGACTGCTGGACAATAAAAGTGGATTTTGTAAACCACAGTCCTGAAACTGAGGTCTTCCACACTTTAACCCAAGAGACTTTCTGATGTTCCCACTGATACATGTTAATATTGTTTACTTGGCAATTTTTAGAGAGATTACATATCTCCCCACATCATCAATACCGTTGTATTAGCATAAAAAAATGTCAGGTTCGGGTTCACAAAATTAGTTTTCTATGCTGTACTATGTATGTGTGCATATGTTGAACATGCATATCTATGTTGTATTAAGTACTTGGCTGCTTGATGGCTCAGTTTGGGGACAGATTTCACCAGCTATAGACTGATACAGTTCATTGTCTCATAAAAAATTTGCACAGCCAAGCATCTCTTGCACTTACAGTTCATTCCCATGAACGGCCAAATAATGATTACAGAAAATGAATTTACTATTTGAGACCATGAGTTTCCAAGAGACACCAAGATACGTCTATGACTATACTCAGAGGGGATATCAGGAACAGAGAAATGAAGTGGCATGAGCTGTGCTATAGAGGAAGGCAACAGTAGAACCAGAAGCACTACCAGCCATTCAGTGAGCATCTCAGGAATAAGCAGGCTTTTGGGACACCTTTGTACACCGATACACTCCGGTGTACAACACCGGTTGCACGGGATAGGAACAATACTGCAACCCAGCAGACAGCAGGCACCACACATCTCCTCCTGACAGGAGTCATTCACCTTGGACGGAGTTAGAAACAGATTCTGCCCACTGGTAGAAAAGACACTGTAGTGGAGACAGAGTTAATATTAAACGGAAAGCCAAAGAGGAAATAAAATGCTTTGATGAAAGATACGTGGGTCATCTGATGTAAGCCCTGGAACTCAGTTTACACCATGAAAAACCTCAATCAAAATGGTATTTTACGCTAACTGCTTTCCCCTTGACCTCTGAATGTTTAACTGCAGTTACTACACAGAACTGTTATCAAAACAAGACTGCTCCCAGCCAAGCTTCATAAAAACACAGTTTATTTCCCTTTTTATGGAACTCTATCGGTGAAAATTTGGTCCTAATTCCTCACAATTCCTTTATATATAATTTTTTCAGTACTGATTTTGAAAAATACATTCTCCCTACAACTTATTCCAGCAAATATGTTGCTTCATAGCTAATGGTACCCATAATTCATTGATATTAGTACAGACAGGGTTCAGATATTTGTACTTTTATAGCACTAAACTGCTTGGATTATATTTTTTCCTTGAAAAATACTTTCCAAACCTTGTTTCTCCTAGGTTTTCCACCATCACTACTTGCAAAACATCTGAAATGGTAAATTACAATCTCAGCCCTGCAATTATAGCAGGATAACTATACTCCCCCTGGCGTCAAAGGGGGCAAAGAAGTCACTCAAGGCTCTGGTACATGGATCATCTATGAATCCTGCATTGCTGACTCATCAGCACCAGCAGGCATACACTGCTATTTTCTGCTAAAACTAAATCAGTAACAGATGATTCTTACCCAGGTATCTAAATCTGTAAAGAAATGTGGCTGCAAGTGTGACTGGAACAAACTTTATTCCCAGTTCCTGGGAATAGAAAGAGAGACTGCAACTAGCTAAACACAAAACACAGCTGAAATTCACACAGCTGAGTAGTCATTCAGTCAATACAGCTGAGTTCCTCTAGAGTTTTTCCATCTGTCTCAGATGAAAATATAGATTAATACAGGTTAGACTACATCTTTCAAAGTCAATGCTTAGTGGTAAAGCTGGAGACAGGGGCAGAGGGTACCGATGCTGAGACTCCACAATGGTTTGAATGGTCTGACTATGGCAGTACCTGGTGCTCAGCTGACAAGGGTTTAACATCCACAGGGCTCAGATGGAAGGAAGAACCTGACGAAAACATCTGTGGCAACGAAGAGCAGAGGTACTAGTTTCACATCAGTTCCCCCTTAGTAGGATCATATTCAACATTGCTGAACATTAGTCTTAAACACAAAGCTAAAGGCCGGTAACTTGCCAAAACCTTGTTCCTTCCATGCTCTCAAGATTGGACGTAGCTGCACCAGCACAGGCAACATGGGTTCAAGACAGCTTCAAAGCTGATGACCAGCCAGGTGTCTGAACATGTTGTAAGACTTGACACATACATACAAGGGCTCCTAAAGCATCTCTGTCACTACTTGAAATGAGGAATACATTTTGCAAGCAAATCCCCAGCACAACTGAGTCCAAAACAGCCTCCTGTGTGCACGACCCGGTGCTCCCCTTGCACAGAGCTTTCCACAACCCTTCTTCCCTACCTCGGGCAGGGAACAGAACGGTAATAAATATTTGGAAAACCACATAAAATTCCTGAGATGCAATTTTTCTCCCAGCTTCACTGAAAGCTTCAGGGGCACCAATAAAAACCTGGGCGGGGGATGGTACACTGTAATTTGTATTTTGAACAGACATTCCCTGAGCAACAGCAAATTTATGCAATCTCCTCCTAGGCTAGAGTTTGAGCAACTCTGCTTTACAAACAAGAGTAGTATCCAGCAAAGTAGTAACCACCCAGGTCCAGAGAGTTCCTGCTTGGTGATTCACAGAGCAATTCCATCTATCTTAAAGAGGATTTATAGACTGTTTACTTTTTTAACTTTTATTGTCTTTGGTAATTAACGGACATTAAATGCAGGCATGACTACTTAGTTTGGGGACAAAAGAACTGAAAGTCAACAATTTGCTATGGATGAAAAATAATTTAGTTCAACATGGGAATGTTTTCACAAGCTCCAAAGGTGCAAGCTATAATAGCTTAACTGATTTCTGTTGCTGGAATTTATTCATCCATCAGGAATTCTGGGCAACTTCTGGTTATAGAAGATTATCATTATTTCAAGCTCACGGTTATGTTTTGTTCTATTTGCTACACAATCACAATCTCCTTCTTGCTTGTTTTTCTTGTTTTGGTGTTACGTTTCAAGGGCCACTTGCACTACATATTTTGTGGTTTTCTGCACGGTACACCAATACAATACACTAATTTCAAATTAGGATACCGATGTTCCAGACTAATATGACTCAGGCCTTACCTAATCTTAGCCAAGCAGTCTGCTTGCCTTTCCAGCAATTAATTAAATCCTAACCTTATACTAAGCAATATCCTCAACAAAAATCTGTGGAAAGAGAAAAAACAACTGCAAGTCCTCTTTCTCAGAATGGATCCACACAGCACTAGACAGAACCAGCCTGGAAACTGTTTGATTATTAAGCCAAGCTGGCCAATAAAAATTCCATTTAGCAACTTTATATGGACATCCTAAATAGCACACAGATAAAGGCAAAGGAATGCTGACAGTCAAATGCAGCACGAAGAAGAAGGGGGAGGGAAAAAAGAAGAAAGCATTTATCTTCCTCAACCAAAGCACATCCAGGAGGCAGGAGGATCACCTCTGAAACAGCCAAATGTAACTACTCAGGGCACCAGGCACACACAGAGATTTTTCTGACAAAGATTAATGAACCCACAGGGTAAACAG